GGGACGGGCTGCGGGACAGCCCGGGGGTGGAGAGGAGGTACAGCCGAGTCCTTCGGGGAAAAAAAAAAGAGGGGGGAAGATATAGATATATGAAAAAAAAATCCAAACTGTAGCTACTGCGTTCCCTGTTTTCTAAAATCGCTGGGGAGAAGCAGATGACCAAGCAGCACTATTTCAAAAATGCACCGTCAGGGGTTTAAAAAAAGGCTACAGGAGAGCTTTGAACACGCTTTTTTCCTTTTAGTTTTTCATTTTAATTCGCACTTTTGCATCATCGTGTTTTGGAAATCGCAGCTGGGGTGTCTGGAAGGGTTTCCTTGGCTTTAGCAGTGGGCAAAAGGGTCCCAGGGCATCTAAATTAAACAGATCCCGAAAGGAGAACAATGGGGGTGTAAAACGCAGCCTGAACCCTTAAGAGGTGTGTGCCCACTGTTTGTATCTTTTGGAGGAGGGAAACTGACTAAGGACTGACATTTCCAGCGAAAAACTTTACAAAGAAATGCACAATTCAAACCGTAAGAAGGGTAAGATTAAAAAAAAGCCAGGTGAAGAGTTTCACAAGTTTTGGAGGGAGGAACATGATTTACCAACTCCAAATCTTAGCGGAACAGTGACCTCCCAGTCACCTAAAGCCAAATGTAGGCAGCTCACAGTATAAACAGGCTCCATTATTTTTTTCTATCACCTGATATATCACTTTTCATACATCCATTCCTATGTGCCACATAAAACCACAAGGTGCTACCACCTCAATTATACTACAATTGCCTCTTTTTTTCTTGCAAAAATCACTATTAACAAAAAAATCAATAAAATTTAGAATAACTTGAGTTTTATGCAGTGCACCAAAACTGCGACCCTGAAAATGGAATTATCAAGTGAAAAAACACTTTCCTTTTGAAGGCAAAGGAACTCCTTACTTTCCACAAAAATGTCACCTCTCAAAAAAAAAAAAAAATTGACACAATGTTATGTTTATCTGAAAATTACTTTTGCAGTCTTTAGTCTACCGAGTTCCAACCAAGAATTCTGCTTTGAACTGCTCCACCCATGCTGCTCTGAGTTTTGGCATGATAAATCACTTACTGTCCATAACATTGCAAAAGCAATTTCTCATCTTTTAGTTCTACATCAGTTTTGAAGGAGAAAATTAAGTAACTTAAAACATCTGGTTTGCAATTCCTTGTCCTCTAAACATGCAAAAATTGGAAGTTTAAAGTTCTCTCAGGTAATTCTACCATCCCCTTTTGCAGATAAAATGCATACTTTAATTTTTATAGCACTCTTCCCAATGATGTCTTTGAAGACATTTAGCAACTTACAAGAAGTTATATTTAACCGAGCTTTACTGTAGCATGGCCATATGCCTTTTACACATGCACTTGCATGTTTTTCTTTCCGAGAAGGTTTACTGAAATTGAGTGAGAAGTGTTTTTCTCAATTTCTCTTTGCTGTGTAATTCAGAAGGAAGTCAACACACAAGTTTTGCCAGTTTGTGAAAGCTTTTTCTATTTCACTCATTTATTCTAGCTCTCATGTCAGTTCCATTGTTCCATAACAGTTAAGGTTTTACAGCCTTAAAATAATAAACGTATTTTCTTTCTGTATTTTACAAGTCTATTTCGCGTTGTTTTCACTTTTGAGAAGCAACAATACATGACTTTGAACACCCACTATCACATCAGTGACCAGAAACATCTATGCAATTTTTTTCTAAACGGTGAGGTTTAGCTGAACAGTGAGTCAGGATCTCCTGCAGTTTCATTTTAGCTTTTTCTAGAAAAAGAGATTCTCTGAAAATATAAAAGAGACCGCAAATAATCAGATAGCAACTCATACAGACAAGCTAGGCAAACAGATGCATTACTGAACAATGTTTAAAGCATCAATCACAATATTTCTCCATTCCATGCATTCCACATCCTGCTGTTGATCTAGAGGACATGATGAAATATGCTTCACTACCGCTTTGATTATTCTGTAACTTTATCCTTCTGTCTTCTCTTCTACACAAGACATGGCTTACAATATATTAAAATTGACATTAACAGCCCTATTGTGACCCAATTTTGTACTGGTTCTCTCAACTCTTCGTTTCTCCCCAAATATTAAAATGGTCATAACCTCATTTTATTAACAAAGCAACTGTTGCTGCTCCATAGAACAGCACTTCAATCTTCATCACAAGGATCAGAATCCACTGAAGTTGCGTGATAGTTTTTGTGACTATTTTTAAAAGTAAATCACAGCTCTAACTATGAGCAATAAAAGGCAATAAAGCAGTTTTCGTCTGAAAACTGGTTTTCAAAAAGTGATTAACTCACGTGAACTTGAACAGTTCCAAAGAAAATGTCACATTTAACGGAACATTTGTCTACTGGAGAAAAGTCATCATTTGACACAAGATCTACAGGGCAGCAAACAATCATGAAGATGCTTTATTGACATTAGCCACTCACCACAAAAGTATCTGCCTGCATACAATTAGATCTTAGCTTTTCAATAGTGTTTTATTGGCAGTGGAAAAATGCATCAGTACTTTACTGAAAGAAAGCAATAAATAATACTGTGATAAAAATAGTTCAAAAGTAGACTGTACATATTGTTACATAATCTGAAAATACACAAAAGATTAATAGAAAAAACAGAACAGTGACAATGAATTTCAGTTTTACAAGCAAGTTAAAAGTGGAAAACAATATAAGAAAAAAGACATGCTATATATATCGTTGCATAATAAATAATGCACCATCCGAATAGATTCTTGCTGGCTTTTTAATGCGCCATTTACTGCCATTTTCTATACCAGCATGGGATACATCTTCTACTCATACAGTCCAAAATGGCTACAACCATCCAATTAAAGTCCAGACAACTCTTTAGAACAAGTGTACAGAACACAAAAGATGACTTACATAAGAAAAGTAAGGCCTTTATTAGGAGTTGCACTGCTTTAGTTTTCAGCCCCTTGTACCTTCATCGTTCACTACTCATTGGACATAAGACTGCAGTGCTTCGTGATTGGTCCAGTAAAACTGGTTTCACCAGCATCTTGCCACAAAAATTTTCAATCTAAAAGATCTAGGACAAAAAAAACCTCTCTGTGGCCTGTGGATTACGACCAGGAATTATTATGAAGTCTATCTTCCTCAGTTAAAGAAAAAAAATACAAACAGTTCTTGGGTTTATGGCTTGTTTTCAGTCACTGTGAAGATACACTATACAAATACAGCAGAGTGTTATGACTGAGTCAATCACTTCTAAAACGTGTTTCATAGTGTTATAGTTCTTCCCAGCTTTTCAAACAAGTTCTATTTTAAATAAAGACAAATTCCCACTATTTGACAAATCCTCTTTGTGGAAAGGTACAGTTCCAAAAAGAAGAACAATCGTGTACCATACCTTCTACAACAACAAATGCTTACCTGAAAAGAAGCTGGACTTGTTTTCAGATCTAAGCTAACATTTCCAAAAGACAAAATATATACTGCTTGGTGTCGTGATACTTTTACAAAGGTATTAAAATCCTTTTCACCTTCAGTTTCATTATTAAAAAACAATGATAATTACAGTAACTGCATAATTTACAAAAACCCTATATTATTTATAGGGACATATACATACAGGCATTACAGTACATTCAGTTGGAAAGACTAAAATTAGAATAAAAAAATCAGCAATGATTTTATTTGTAGACTGAATAGAAACAGAAAAAAGTAAGTAACTATATAAATGAGAAGTCACATAAATATAAGAAACATTTAGATTCTAAAATATTTTCTCTATAGTACTCATGAATTTATTTGCTAATTAAAAACTCTGTAATAAAATATCTCAAAGTGTCCATTTAACAAGTATTAACAGGTTAAGGATTCCAAATGTTCAAAATGCTGCATATCACCGGTAGAAATAGTGTGGGTAAACTGTAAAAAACAACAAAACAAAAGACAAAAAAAATCGATTAGCAGGTTTTTTTAAAAACATTTAATTCTAAGGTTCTCATAAACAGCTCAGTAGTTTAACAGTCATGCATCAAATTATTGCCATGCCATGACATACACAATTTGATTGCCTTCTGTCATCTTCAGTTGCAATGCAAAGTAATGCACAAGGTCAAGTATTTCTGCTTCCTAGATTTTTACCCTACATCATCTGACTACCAAAAGTCCTGGAACAGTGGGGAGGAGGAGACTTAAAACTTCAATATCTTGAAACTAAAAAAAAAAAATAAATTTAAAATACCCCCACATTAAAAACTGACAGATCCACGTGATCCAAGCTGCTATGTGCAAGAGTTTCCCTTCTCAACGTTTCATATCCAAGAACTCTTTAGAACTAAACTTGTATGTGCAAAAAGGGTCCGAATTTGAAGAAAAGGCCAACACATGAGTTGGGAGGGATGCTACTGGTGAGAAGGAAGGAAGCTGTAAGCAGAGGAGAGGCAATTTATAGCCCATGGAAGGTACCAGCTAGCGAGAGAAAGATTCACTGGATTTTTTTTAATATAAAAATATTTAGTTTCCAGACTTGTTTGCAAAATGAGAGAAACACTGCTCCATAAGAAAATACAGAAGAGGCTGCTGAAGAAAAATCATTCCAAAACCTGGAGTAAGACAGGTCAACGTATCTTTCATAAGCAAGAATACTTGTATTTTGTGTTAAACACCCTTCTGTTAGCAAGCTTCCTTTTACTGTCAGCACCGCTCACAGCTACCCAAATTTAGGCAGCAGGTAGCTAAATCCAGTCAGACAGCCTCAACAATCGCAGTGGCATGAAGTATCCAAGAACTGGAAAACTATGCCATTCCCCCTCTAACAATTCAACCTGGAAGTATATTGTAGTGGGATAACTTTGACCAAGCAAAGACTCAGAAAGAAATGGTATGAACCGCAGTGTCACACGCTGAATTATTTTCTTTCCTTTATATGCCTCATTTATCTCCCTTCCCTCCTACCCATTTGCACTAGCCGTTTCATTAACCCTTGGATTCCAACACTTTCTACATAGCTATTTAGCATGGGTCCTTTTCGGGGCTTTTTAAAAAAACCCTCAAAAGAATACAACATTTACAGAAGTAAATATTTAAACACTCAGTCCTAATTGTAGGAAATAAGCACTGTATTTTCAATATAAAAATCTACTCTGAAAACACGAAACAGTTTTGTGTGTGAATTCACTTTATTAAAGTACCTGACGTTCTATTCCATACATAGCTGCTTTGCTACGATAACTATCAACTTTACTCACCAGGAGAAGGCTTTAACAGGAGTAGGTCCTTACTGTAGCAGAATCCAATCTTTGTGTTCCTGATACATTGCCTATTTCAAGAAGCATGGGAAGACATGCAGAACACAGCATGCATGTTAGTTTTCAAAAAAACCAACCTCACAGCAATTAGATTACAGCTACTGGACTCACCCAGCTCTCAGGTTGCAAGTTAGAAAAAGCAGAATTTATTTTACAGTTTATCTATTAACCACTTCTGTTTTCAGTGACTAACAAAAAGAAATCTAAAAAAATCTGCATGCCAAGTAGCACACAGAAATTTGCAATGGTTATTTTGCAAGCATTTTTTAAAAAAATTTATGTAGTTTGTATCTTTCTGTTTTTTTATCACAAAAATAAAGAGGTTAACATGGTAAAGACTTATTTTAATTTACAAAATTTTCCACATGGATTCTGGAAAATATTTTCTGCTATTGACTACTTAAAACAGCTCACATTTTAGAGAGTAACATCAGATGCAAAGGTTGCTTCTTTGAGCTTTACTCATAAACACAATTTTCAGAACCTAAGAACAACTCCAACAGATTATGCTGAAGTTCTTGTCCTGTCTATTCCAGCTAAACACCTTTTCCATTTATTTCTATTTGTGTTTTGTAAAACAAATTCAAGTGAAAGTTTATTCTCATGGTACTAAAGAGACTGGTTTTAAAGAGACAAGATACCTCATGTCACGGGTGACCAACCTCCACTTCCAGGTAGGGTTTTTTGGGTTTGAGTTTTTTTAATACATATCTGTGTGCATGTACACACATACATACAGGTCATCAAGTACACAGCAATGAATGAAGTAGGGATTTGGTATGGTCAATATTTAAATGACCAATGCAGGGTGAGGGGTGGCAGGGGAAATACACCTTTTACTCAAGTTTTAATAATCTCAACATTATTTGAGGGAGTTTGATCACATAATTTGTTGAATGCATTTTTAGAATGAATGAAGGAATTTAGAATCAATGCATTTTAGAATGAATGCACTTCAGAGGTGGGACTTATATTGGTCTAATTGCTGCTAATTAGAAATTATGCATCATGTGATGAAAAGACTTCTACTAAAATGTTTTTTTTCCCCCCAGTTTAAAATAAATTTATTTCTAACAATAACTCTCATTTTGTTACTCCAATGAAGTAAAAAGAAACTCCACACTCAATACAGCGTCCTGAAATTATAAAGCACCCTATGGTTAAACACAGTGTTATATATCCAACCATGCGCAAGGCAGATGCTTTTATGCAGCAAAAAGATCATTTGAACTAAATCCTCTGTAATCTCAAGCAAAAAAGTGCATCATGCTTAAAATAATACAAAATCAATACCATCAATCTGCATCTTCTTTGGCTGCATAGAGGGTGAAGACATTGAGGTTGTCACTCTGAAATTTGCAGGAAGAGTCTCTGCTGATCCAGCAGCTAAACCTCTTATGTCCTTTGGTCTAAACTTCTTTCTCCATGAAGGTGCTCTCCTAAAGCTCTTATCATCATCCTGTTACATTGAGAAACACCATTAGCAATTCAAAAAAAGGTAGGATTGCTACTGACATTGAAAGTATTACAATGACAATCTGAAGTAAATATATCACCACTGAATTAGTTAATTTTCAGAACAGTTCAGGTGCAACTGCAGCAAAGGTCTTAATTTGCAACAATCTGTGTTCGTTTGCCAGAGTGTAGGCTCTTCAGCTCTGTAACTATGGAAATTCATGTGCTCGGCACATTTCAGAAACATTTGTTCTTTAAATGTTTGTACTTCATGACTTGCAGTAATTCATAAGTGTCACATCACTCATTCTTAGGGGATATGAGGAGCGGAGCAGATAAAAGCTGCTTTGGGAACACTAACATATAGAGGCTTAATTTGAACAACTGCTTGTAAACAAAAAGCTGATATATTCAGAAAAATCTCAAAGAAAGAATTTCAAGTTAAGATTTCTCACTATTCAGTTGATAGCTTAAAGAGGTGCAGGGTAAATTCTTTCATTTAACAGTTCTGATAAAGTTCCATAAAATGCATCAACAGCTCAAGTAACTTACTTCATCAAGTCTTCTGTCAGTGCCCATAGCAAGAAGGTTATTAAATTCCCTCTCCAGAACAGCACGAGCCTAAAGTTTATAGGACAAAAGAAATGGAAATTAATTCCAGAAGATTAGCAATTAGTAACCTATAGTGATTTTTCAAACTTAATAAAACCCAAATTGTTTAATACCTTCTTATCAGATTAATAAACACACTTAGTACGTGAAAAGTTACAATTTAAGCTGTAACTTAAATTTAAAGAAGACTTAACAGCTCCCCCTTCCCTTGGGATACAAAGGTTCATTATTTCTGTCTCAAACTTAAGTATTTCAGAATAAAAACAAGCAAACAACAAAAATAATAAGTTTTACACTAAAGTTGTGAAGAGGGGCTATAAGGAAAATATTCAAGCAATATTTTTTGTTCAAGCAAATTTAATCAACCAGAATTGTTATTAACAATTAGGAAACAGTAAGAAAAGCATAGTTCTATGTTCTTCTCTTCTAGGATAACAGACAGCTTTCCATTTCTAAAGTTTCTAGAGCTGGGAATAGAAAGCCACGCACTTATATAAGACAAAAACAAAACCAGTCAGTTCAATTTTTAGCCTTCCTAGAAGGGAGAAAAATCCTATATAAAGTAACTACTGCGTGCTTACCTGTGTGTTTTGAGTGGGTATTTGTAATAAGAGAGCTAATGCATTGTAATCAAATGATTCATCTAAGGCCACAAGTGCACCATGAACTCCGCTCTCTAGAAGGTTATTCGCGTATTCCTTAAGACCAATGGAGACTACCCAATGGATCATTCTTTCATTGCTCCATACAAGGACATCTATGGAGAAAAAAAAAGTTACCCAAGATATGTAACACAGCTTTTCTGAACAAAAAACCCCCAGTCCCTTCTTGATCTGTATGCTGATGTTGGGATGGATGTTCACATACACACAATTCATCATCAGTTCTGTTAAGCAGTAGCCCTCAAAGAATGTTGTTGTTTAACATTTAGGTTGTGATCTAGTCTGCCCCTGCTTTTCTGGTGTACATGAAACGTCTAAATTTGCAACAAAACTTCATGCTTAGACTCTAATGCTCAGTGTTGGATCCTTTCCATACAGTAGTTTTCCTTCCACCCAGAAAGAATAGCCCTCGCTTCATCTCCTCTCTCTGCCTACAAGGGAGGCTCACAGTCACGGTTACGAGACAAGTTCAGCTGGGCATAGCACTCATGCAGATGCAGAAGACAGGATCTTCCATTTCACACAGTCACTTAGGGGCTCGTACCTCACCTAAGGCAGACTGAGTATTTTGGAAAAAAAATTTTACTACACAAAAGAAAAATCAAGTGCTGTAACAGCTCTATGAGAGCAAGTTATTCTACTTATAAGCAGATTTTTTTACACTATGCAGGAACATCTCTACCAACTGTAGTTGTATACTGTTACAACTACAACGCAGCATGTTTCTGGCCTGTGTCAAGCAGCATTCTTCCCAAACAATTTGCAGGGGGAATTCAAGAGTTACATGTTTCAAGGAGCAATTCCCTACAGGCAATAGATGCAGCCATACCATTTAGGAGTCTTTTTTAAAAAGTCTTACTGGCCGCAACACAGGCTTGTTTCATGCCAGTTAGCTGCAGCTCCGAGGAATGTTCTCAGGCACAACTAGTAGAACCACCACCAAAAGGTACCAACACTTTGACAGGAAAGGGGAAGAGGAGGCACAGAGTGTTCTAAGCAAATTGTGTACAAGGTAACCCTGAAATTTTAGTCTAAGATGTCAGAAAAGACACTGGACATTAGGCAGGGGACAAAATTTCTATGGGAAGTCTTGGAAAATACTGTGAATTCCCAATCCTGCTTTTTCTTCTTTTTCTCCTCTCTTGTTCACTAATCACCACCAATCTCGAAGATATAAATACCTAAGTCATCTGGGTATTTTTTCATAAAATGCTGCATCATAAAAATTACCAGCCACAAGCAACAATAAAACCACATAGATGCAAAATTATGTCAGAATAGGAAAAAAACCCCACCAAAATCTAAACATGTTCAAAAATCTCATCCTCCTGAAACATTTGGTTTTGTTTCAAACTTCAGAGCAGTAAGTGTTTCAAAAAAGCCTGCTTTTGTAGCACATCTCTGCATGAGTGAATGATTTAATGATGTGTTTCATGATTCACTGCTTGGGGTCTGCATCCAGACACATCTCCTGTATTTAACACTTTAGTTATAAACAATTCCTTCCTCTAATACCTTTTTTTTTTTAATAATATATTTTTGAGGCAGATAATGACTGAGGTCAAGACAATGTACTAACCCTTAATTTCATTCTGGCTTTCTTCTCTTTTTCTTTCAAGTTCTTTTCGATCATAATTCAGTCTTCGTAGGCACATAATTCCACACTGAAAACTGTTTCTATTTAGAAAAGAAGAAAAAAAATAGGAAAAAAAAAAACATTTAGAGATAAAGGAAACATTTCCTGGAAGTTATGTCTCCAACTAAAATCTATTTACCTGTGAAAGCTGTCCACCATTTTAAGTTGCCCACGCAGATCTTTTTTAGTTAAATGATCCAGCATTCGAGCATCAACAAGACATTCCATGAAATAGCTGCGATACTGAGGGAGCCCCAGACTTGGGAGCCATTCATTGCCAATCCACTCATGGTTCATGTCACCATACGCTAATGTCTGTTGTTTTTAAAAGATTAAGGCATAAGCTTATTAAAATGAGAAAAAGATAAAAGCTTTTTTAGACCACATATTTGAAAGAATAAAGTAAAACAATGCCTACTTAATTCTTAGCCTGTAAGGATAAGCAAAGAAAAATACATTATGTTTTCTGAAGAAGGCAACCTCATGAAGAAAAGCAAGTTTAGATATTCACATCAGCAAGTAAAACTGCCTTAATGTTTTCATGTTGAAGAGTACAAAAAATATGCAAAAACTAGTAAAAATAAAATATACTAATTATACAGTTTTGATAGCAAGCGCTATAGAATTTCATTTTGTTAAGATGATGAAAATGCTGTATCCCTTGAAAATGGGGGGGGAAATCTTATTTTTCACATGACCATATAAATACAAGATACCAAAGAAATAACTCCAGGGGTTTTTTAGTACTCTTAGCTGTTTTCAGAAACTGATCCTAATATCAAGTAAGCAAAAAAAAAAAAAAAAAGATAAAAATCCATTCTTGAAGAAAAAGCAATTCTAAATGCTAGTTTTGACCCACAAATCACCAGGCACTTTTTGGATAAAACTTCTAAAAATTAGAGAGCTTATAACTATGCATCTAATCATTCCTTGAGCAACAAAACTCAACAGCTCCTTTTCTTCAAAAGTCGGGGTGGTAATTCATTTTCACTGTGCAATTATAAGTCAAAAGCTTTATTTCTCCTCTAGAGGAAGCATCTTCTAGAAAGGAGCAAGGCCATGCAGAAATGCATTTCTTCACGCCATCGCTAGGTAGCAGACTGAAAGAGCATGTTACCCGCAAGCTACGATTGTTATCACTGACAGTCTGCAAACAGGTGTCCCAGGCGTTGTTAATGGGACTTAAAGAGGTTTAAGGTGGAGGGCAGCCAAGCAAGAAGAGACTACGCTGTCCAAAGATATGGGTCACAAGCAAATCCTGAGTTTTGTTTATGTCCCTGTATAAAACACTCACCTATCTCAATGCCTGAAAAGACAATTAGGATTTGCCACCACGTTAAGGGAAAACAATTAATCAAGGAGGATTACAGAATTAGTGCACAGAAATCTACTTAACTATCCAGACTCACTATGGCTGGTAGCACACCTGCGGTGGTGGCCAGGTTGAACGGGACTTTCTGCACACAGAAGTCTTGTTGGACCTCTGGCTTCCCGCAGAGCCACTTCCCACCAAAACACACCAATTTAAAATTTGATCTAGTGTGTTCAATGTATAGAATAGGACAATACTTGTTAAGAAAGAGTAACTACATTTTGGTGATTCGTAAGCGAGAGGATAAATATTTCAGAAAGACAATGAAGATTTCTGAATATTCTTCCCCCAACAGTCCTATTATTAAAAATCCTTATGCGTAGCTTTTTGTGATGTACTATGTAACGAAGTATTTTACAAATTTTAGTGATGAACCACCAGATCTTGGAAGTGCTAGAAAACATTAAAATAGTTAAATCACCTAAATATAAAAGTGTACCTTCCAAGTATGCCTTATACAGAGACAAGTCTGTAGTTTCCCCCTCTCCCCATCCCCAAGCCACACCAAGTGTCGCTAAAAGAAATTGATATAAAGGAAAAAACAGATACTTTCATGCTCTAATTATTGTGACAGTGTACATACAGTCTATAATATTACATAAAGTTTCCAACCTGAGCCCAGCTTCCCTCCTCATCCTCCTGTTAGGTGGTTAGAAAAGCAAAAGAACACAAACGTATTAGTATTTAAGTTTAGTAAGGAGATCACTGTTTAAAATGCACTGCAAGTCTCTAAGTCACACCAAAAAAAAAAAAAATCTAGATAAAGCAAGCATCATGCATTGTAAAAAAAAAAATACAAAGGCACTCATTTTCATATGAGAGGTTGCAAAGCCCATCTACTGATTAAGTTTTCCACAGAGAAAAAATTTCTGCACAAATAATTTTGTTTGTCTATTAGTTAATCAGATCAGATCTCCATTTTGCCAATTAAAAAGTTTTGGTTACAATCTTATCAATGTTGATTTTTTTTCCCCCTTCTGGAAAAAAAAAAAAAAACCTATCAAGATGCAGGTTACAAAGTTAGTAATTAGAAGAAGCAATGATCCAGAATTTTAATGCATTCATTAAAAAAAAAAAAAAAAAAAAAAAAAACAAAAAAAAAAAAAAAAGACCAAAAGGCACTTGATTCAAATGTTCAAAAAGCAGGAAAAGCACTCTAAGGAAGTGGCAACACTGTAAACTAACCGTTTGTTGCGTGGCTGTAAGATTTTCCATTTCTTCATGTGTTACCCAGACATTTCCCGTGGTCTAATATGACCCCACAGGGAACCAATCCCATCCAGTGAAAGGAAAGCAGTAACAAAGAGGAGAGGTTGCAGAACATAAAAGCAATCGGTACATGTAAGGAGCAGGCATGGGCAAAAGCAATGGTTTCCAAAGGCTTAAGTATAGGTATATCTATCGAAAGTAATGGCATGGAATAAAAGCCTATTAACATGGATCACTTTTCTTCAAAGATATTAACAAAACTGAATGTGCTAAATAGCTTACACTGAGGTAATTAACAGGCAAACACTTGACTCTAATCCGAAAAATGCATTTGTAGCCTAGTACATAATCCCAGGAATCTCAGAGATAACTTTAGATCGCAGGGCAGACAGACTCACGGGAGGGAACTCACACCAAGTGTCAAATTTCACTACAGAAGAGACAGGTGGACTCCTAGTTTATGTAGGCTGAATCATTTTGGAGTTAACGGCCTTATACATGAATTAAAAGAGCCTCCAACTATTTTACAAATTTTTGTATGCAATTGTATACTTTGTGTGTGTTATAAATTCTTCCGAGTACAAAAGATGAGGCAAATAACGTTCTCTAAATATTTTGGATTATATACTTACACTGACATAAACTTCTTTAGAAAGACAATGCAGTTATTCCTTCATTTAATTTCCATGAAAGGAAGAAACATCCTATATGCAATGTGCTCCTCTACAATTTAATTAAATTATTTGAAGCTCAAATCCTATCAGTTACACGTTTACGGTAGAATTTTGAGAAATTCTAATGGTTCTAAAAGATGTTTAATGCTGGATCACACTCCTTACCGTCCTCGAGGTGGGAGGGGCAGATGGACTTGTTAGCGACATGATTTCTTGAATGGCCAGCCTCAGCTTCAGTCTGTGCAGGGGATTACTAATCCCAATTTCACGCTGTATTTCTGTATCAGACAAGGCTGACATGATAGCACCGCTTTTCACATTTGCTCGGCAAGCAGCCACATACCAGGCTGGCATCCCAACCCACAGCTGAAACACACACAAAAAAAAGAGAGAGTAAGCAGGATCTGGAAAACATTCCTGTCTCTAAAACCTTAAATTCTTAGTAAATCTGTACATTGAGGATTTATTAATTTATTTATTTATTTTGGAAGGACCACTTACCTCCAACCACACAACCACAGTCGGCCCATCCCACTGCGCGAAAGGCAAACCTTGTCTTCTGGCTTCCTCAAGCAACTCATGCCTACAATAACAGATAGAGTTATTAAAAACAAAGAAAAACTAGTTATAACTAGATGTTACAATTTAAAACACTACATTCAACTTCTGATCTTCTTTCCAACAGTTCGCTTTCTTCCTTTCTCAGCCTTACACCCACAGCACACATACAAGGACGACACAGTGACCTAAGCGGAGCTAGGGAGGAAATTTCAGAGTGGCAGAGATGCTGGATCTTGCCTTTTGGAAATTTGTGTCTGAAACTGCTACTGACACTCAGCAGCTAGATTTCACTAACAAAGACCATAAAAGCTAATACATATTTGTACGCTTCAAAAAGATCTATTTCTAAATTGGGAATAAATGATCAGCTATTTTCCTGCTACCACGGAGCACGTGGCATTAATCCCACAAATCACTAGCCCTGAACACATTCAGTTTGGCTTCACTTTGTTGTTTCAAGATTAAATAAAGAGAAAAAGAAATTAATATGATACTAAAAAATACTGTTTGCTAAGAACAGAATAAAATGCTTAATACTGTATTCACCAGAAAGGAATACAATGTTTTTTCCAAGCAGTTTAACTTCAAAATTGTTGTCTTTTTTTTTTCCTTTTTAGTGGTTGCGGTAACATGACAGAGAATTGCAGCATCATTTCTGCTGGTTTTACAAGTCTCCTTGTGTACATCAGGTTAACCATGAAAAAGCAAATCCTTTGGAGATGAGCAGTACAGGGAACGTATCAAAAAGCATAAGGAGAGGTTGTGATGCAAACTGGAAGGAGTGTTGGATGTGATGGAGGCAAACACAGAAATAGAAAGAAACAAACAAAAAAAATGTTGATGAGATAACTTCATGCAGAAATTATTCAATGGATTCAAAGAGGAACGCAGCCATGAGCTGGAAAATTAATTGTGGAATTTGTTCTTATGCAAGAAGAGATAGAAAATTTGCTTGCACGGAAAATCATTAAACTGAAAGTTCAAGACATATCACAGGCACAAAACATCTCATAGAAAGAATTCATAGGCAGCTGCCGTTCCATCTGCAAATGGTGCATCAATGTTTTTTTCCTGTAGTGGAGAACTCCACTTTTCCAGCAATTCCCCTCTAGCTCCACCAAGAAACTCGCGTCATTCCAGCAACACATGATCAGATTACGGAAAGATCACAACTGACACACCAGTTTAGTTTCACAGGCCATTCAATTATACCATTTAAGAAGTATTGCAAAATCCAGCTTCATATCTTTGTGAGAAAAAACAAAATATTGCAGCAGTGTTAACAGATGGTATAAAGCTGGCACCGTGAAGGACAAAAGAATGTCAGAGGAGTAGCTGGCTACTGAAATAACTCTTAGAGGACAAAACCAAGGGATAGATGCCTACAGACTTAATAAAAAGTTGGCTGAACATCACTGGGAGTGGATGGTCGAATGTGCTGCTGCAAGAGCGGAACACTTGTTGCTAGACACATTCAAAAGGCATCCAATGCCAGCTGTGGAGAACAAAAACTGTGGTCACAGGGGATGAGAAATGATGTTAAAACCGCAGGTGCCTGATGTAGCTGTGGACACACAAGGCCCTTTAATGACCATTTGAAGTATTTGTATTTGGAACGGCTCTTGGCAGGCAGAGCATCAGTGGAACGTTAATACCCTTATTATATATTGATTTCAGGTATGGAATAAACTTTGTGTGTATAACTGGTTTTTAAGTAGAATTATCCTAAATGTAGGGTTGCCTTCCTTTTTGATTAATACAGTATTAAGTTTGTTGTCTTGTACACAGAAAAGCACACACACAGTTGTGGCAAACCCCGTCAGCAACACAGCTCACAAAGGAGATGAACAACACACTAAAAAACCAAAACAAAACACTAAAAAAACCTTAAATTCAGTAAACAAAGAGCAACTGTTTACAGAAATACATCTACCTTGGAAATGAATTGCCACAAATATATACTATTGCTACACAACTTTCAAAACCCAAATTACAAACCTAATTCCCTTTAAGTAGGGTTTAATATTTCCATTATAGAAGTTCACACCATACGGATTAAGACACTGAACTAGCATTCACACTGAACTAGACAACATTGGATTTATTTCAGCAACACATTTTCACAATAAATTCTTTTGAATCTAGTATCTCCTCTCATAATTACACTTTTTTGAAAACAAATTAAGAGCTTTTAATATATTGCTAAAAAATCCAAATGAGATTTATCGGAATTTCACAACAATCCTATTAAAATAAATGTAAACTTACCCTGATTTTGCACTACCACATCAAATGGTAAACAAAAGGAAAATAAAACAATGAAGGAAAAAAAAAGTAGGATTAAACTGAACTCAAAGGCATACAAAAACAGACAAATAATGTATGCTGTAATTTAATTCTGTAACTATAAATAGGTTTTTGTTAGTAAAGACATTGAATACTGCCCTCGGCCGGTTTGTGTGCATGCATGCAGAAATCAGAAAGATAAGCAAGCAAATAGGGATTAGAGACAACTATAAATAGAACTAGCTGTCATTGCTCCAAGCTTTCAGGTAGCTGGAATTCTTTTAGCTGAATACAGGATTTTAGAAGTGAAGAGTCAGCCTCCAGAGTTTGTTTTAACCCCACCCTCCTCCTCCAATATCAAAGCGAAAAGCAATTCAGAGCAGCTTCACCACTTTTTGATAATGAGCAGCTCAAGACAGCAGCAAGGGATCTCTGACACGTTGTGATAATATCACTTCCTATGTTCAGAATACCTGTCAGGATTCTGAAACTTCTGGATTCAAGTCTATTGCTGGGATTTTTAAACAGTAGATTTGCTTCTCGTGGAAGTTCAAAGGGTCCTGCTGCTGCTCTCAGCAGTAAGAGTAATAAAACTAAACGTTATGATACGTATAGTGTTCATCACCACAGTCTTCAACACCCACTGTCACAAACATCTGAATCAGATACCTTCCTGTGAATAAGCACGTACCCATAATTATTTCAAACTAAAAGCGTTCCTTTGTCTAATATAGACACTTGCCTTTTAAGCAACCAACAGCATGCAGCATGAGGTATACTTTAAGTCATACCAGTACAGTTTTGAAAGGCAGAATGTTTACAAAGAAAAGTCATGATTTAACTGCAACTGCATTTTTTGAATTTTTTAAAGCAAGACAGTATAGGTTGTTTTACTCTAGAATGAAATTTGTTGCTGGTATTGAGAAAGATCTATATTGTTCAAAGACCAGGCCTACCACTATTTAGATATGACCAGACTAACATTATTTATTCAACCAAGATGTGGTACGACTTTAAAGCTCGGTAGAAAAGGGAAAATACCAGATCATAATAATGTACGATTGCCTTCAGTGTAACAGTCTGAAGAAAAACAGCTGAGCATTCCGTTATACAAACAAAGCCACATTCCATTCGGACTTTTCAAACCAACACACTGCTGGTTTGCATTAGCAGTCAACCAGGCATGATTCTTATTTGTTAATAGAGCTTAGGTACTGCAAGAAATCCCTCTTGCAAAGAGGAAAATTAGCACACTTTCTTTTCAAGTTCACTATTCTGTCTTCAGAAGTAAAAAAGCAAGACAGGTCTGATCTTGGTCAGCTTTTTTAACACAAAGACAGCTGAACAGAACAGAAGCAACTGAAGTTCAACGTATATGGCTCAGCTTTGGGTGGAAAAATGCAAAGAATGCTTGATCCTACTTCCATAAATTTGAGTGTTTCCTGTATTACCATATAAGCATCAAGTCAAGATTCCTACTAGCAGCAATATCTATCTTTTTCCTATGGTTATAGTCTTTCGTTTCATCTCTTCTAAGCCTGGGAACAACAAAGCGTTCAGTAGATACTCAAAAGGTGAACATTAAACTGAAGATTTTCTTGGACACACACTGAAAAAATTCTCATGACTAGGAAAAGGTAACTGCATATCTAAAAAGTACCATAAAAAAGGGAAATAGTCACAAATTATTAAAAAACAGGAAATCAGAGGTGTATGGTGCAAGGAAAAAAGATTTTCACAGTTAAAATATATGAGAGAAAGTGTCAAGACAACCTCAAACAGAAAGAAAACAATTAGCAAACACAGCAGCAGTTAGCAACACAGAAGGAGAGACTTTCAGAGTCACCTGCTAGAAAGGAACCAGCAAACGCATACGGAAGGACGTCTGTACAGAACATCTCATGCTTTCACTCTGTCAGCTATTTCCCACTCCGGAGCAAGTAACAGCCAAAGACAACTCTGGGAAATCTTCCAAAGCAACTAAACCCAAAGCAGGTATTAAATATAATAAATTTTAACAAAGGTTGATAGGAGTCCACTTTTTGATAAGAGTCCACTTTTACCTCCAAGTTTGTTTATTACAGCATTTCAACAACAAGCTTTCAGCACTGAAATTTGTTTCAGACTTACCAAGACCTATGCCTACTATAAATGTTCTGGAAAAAAAATAGTAAAAAAAAATCTACAGAGACTTATTACCCATAGTACCATACTAGGCAAAAATACCTGAAAACAAACAAACAAAAAAAAAACAAACCAAAACATTTTTAAACAAACCAGTATCTTAACAGAGGATTAAAAATATTCAATAACTTACTTTTTCTGCATTTTCCTGTTTTTTTCTGCCTGACCGCCAAGCTTGCTGAGACCTAATGCATCCTGAGAGGAGCTATCTGCTTCTCCTATGCCAACTACAAAAAAAAAACAAACCAAAAACCAGTCATCTTCTCAACTTTGGCCAGTTACAACTCAAAAATCACTACTGCTTTCCTAAACAAAAGTATTTAACCTTTTGTAATGTTACTGATCAGAAATTGTACATAGTCAGACCTCTAAGCCCATCTATCACTATTTTCTAGTTAAATTAACACCCATCAAAATGGTGCATAAAAATCAGGAAAATCAGATTGGTACAGACTCAAATAGGTGCTGTCTAAAACTAGCTGGAGTCACACCGAGAACCTTACATTTCAGCCACCTGCAAGATGAATTCTCAGTGTTCCCGTACCACTTATGGTTGCCAACACGAAGGGTACCACTTTATGCAAAGAATTACACAGGAGAGAATGGTAACCATAGCGTTTGCTAAGCCATATATACATATATATACATCATAAAACTTTCATTCACTCTCTTACCATGCAAAAAAAACCAAAAATACAGCAAACCAACCTTGTCCTAATGCTTCCTTGCTTGTTTGTCCAGGTCGTCCCTTTTCCTTCTTGCCAAACAAGCGGCCAATAGATGATTTGATCCCCTTCTTTTTGGGGGCTTTATGAAGGGAATCTTGGCTACTATTACTGCTGCTAGGATTACTTGTTTGCCCGTCTTGCGAGCCTGTCGAGCTTGGGAAAAAAGAAAAAAAAAAAAAAGGAGTCAGAAAGGAGTACATGTACAAATCCACTGGCATAACACAGTGAGAGACGAGTTCAGGTTTTTTACAAGTTAACAAAAACTCAGTAACTCACTAATGATATTTAATTTCAGCTTTTAATGAGTCATGAAAAGAAAAGTATCTACTAAAATACATCTCATTAAACACAAAACACAGTGGAAACAACCAAATAATGAAAGAACGAAAGGGGTATTTATACACCATAGCATGTAACTGCAAGTCAATTCTAAGTTCAAGAAGCAATAATTAAAGTGTTTAAAGTGCAGTTCAGAGGCCAAAGTTAACAACACAAGTTCGTGACAAATTGAGTCAGACAATGGAAGTCTGAAATACTTGAGTGGAATCCATCCCCGATACTTAGGCACTTTGAAAAGAACATCTGTCAAGCAAAATGCTGATAACTTTGCAACTTATTTCTGAATCTATAGCTCAAGTTCAGTCTGTGAAAGGATTGGAATTGTACATCTTGCATTTCTGAAGCAAACTTAATGCAGACCTAGAGTACCAGAAGAATTCTTCACATGAAGCCATTTCTGATCATTAACAAAATCTTTACTCTCAGTGTTCGTGTAACATAAACACCCATTCATGTGCTCATACTCTACTTTTGAGAAACACTTCAATATCTAGACTAAAATCCTACAGGCTACACAGCTTTGCAGTTTTAGGATTTTATTCTGATGTTCTGAAATAATAAGTTACTGGTAGGTCTGACTTATTGACAGATACTTACTTTCTAATGTCCCTGATATCTTCATGGCTCACTGTATGCAAAGCTCCTTTTTGGACTCTGTCCAAACGCAAAGATCGAGGTGAAGAAGGTGGTGATGTCTCACATTTTATTGTGGTTTTATCATCTCGTACCTCTTCTCTGGAAGCTGGAGACTAATGGAAAATGAATGAAAACTTGAGGGGTTAGCTGGAAATGCCAAAACATGAGTGTAATAGCAACACTACACGAAATACTGAAATGAAAAATCAATTATTTGAGTGTGAAAGGATTACTCTTGCCCTTACCATGCTGCAGTTGCCTATTTTTCTTTTGACTTCTTTCTGGATTTTCTGTTACCTTCAGTGACAAACTACTAAATTACAGTCTTAGCTGGGGAAATGAGCAAGTAGCACTCATCTTTTATTCATTCATAGAGCTAAGAACTAGTGTCTTCAGCACCACAAAACTAATGTACCCAACTTCAGATTAAGCAAGTGCAAAGACAGAAAACCAGAGTGTCCTGTGAAAAGAAGGCATTTGGATTCTCATCATTACCAAGATTACCAATTCTTTGAAGTCAGTTTCTACGTACCTGTGGCTATGACTTATCTCAAAGTTTAAACAACAGAAATTAAGACTTGTGTGTGCACTAACATCTTTAAAATTAAATATTGTCTCACAAGATTGCAAAATAGCGGTTGCAAACACAAATCAACACAACAGTCCCCCACACAAGCAAAAAAAAGACAAAACACACAAGCAAAAAGAGACAAAACCAACAAACAAAAAACAATAAAAACAAAACAAACCCACACTTATCTTAAGATGATATCCATTTTACAGTGAATATCAAAGAGAATATAATGTCACTTTATTATAGGGTTACCCTGCAAATATTTTCTTTTATGTTCCTGTTCTCCATTGATGAGTTTGAAAGAGACGAAGGGACACACCAGTAAATAAACTGAAGATTTTTACCTTTCTACGGTGTTTCCTTAAATCACTAGGCTGATAGATGCATGCAAAGAAAAGAAATTTGGAAAAGCGGTATTTATTGTAAACTGTAGCACAGATTAAAACAACTACTACAGACAAAAAGTATTAGGGAGAATATAAATAACAATTACAGCAACAGCACAGAGAAAGATACAGTGTATGAAGTACTCTTCAAATCAGAGATTACTTAAATGTATCCCTGAAGAGGGGAAAAGGAAGAAAAAAGAAATAATCAAGACCTATAGTTGGTTATCTACAAAAGTACTGTAGATATTTCAATGTACTGGTACCACAGGCAAATTAACACACAAAATGTGCGTTATCTTCAGTAAGAAAAACAGTAAAGGACACATGGGGCATAAGGCTTTGCTTTTAAAAGGTGAGAGGATTTCCAGTCGTGTGCCAAGGACTTCCCTTGAAGTATATAAAACTAGACCCTTCTCACACCTTAGCAACTTCTGCAGTTGTTTCCTACACAGCATAAAAAGCAGCCACACTGTAACAACGGCGAAAGAGTGCCAACAGTATCTGATTTCTGTACAGGAACAGTGTTCTGTTCTTTTTACTAAGTTTAAAGTGCTGGAACGTTTGCGCATGAGTCTACCACCAATTCTGTTTTATCCTCCATCCCCTCCAGAAGCCGCGGTATCTCACTTCCTAGGGACTTCTCACCTCTGCCAGTGTGCAGAACATGGCAACAACCTTGAGCTACAGGCTGACTCTGAAACGAGTTTGATTTAGTGTCCTGGGTTCAGCATCATTTAATAATTCTCATATTTTGGTGACAAAAAAACTAACCAAAAATAAAGTCAGTCCCCTTTGAAGTTGGGGGGCAGACCCACTCTAACCCTGATAGATCTTTCACCTGCTAAATCCTATAACTCATCAAAATCAAAATGTTTACCATATGGAATAAAAATTGCCCACAAGAACTGTTGAAGGGAACTGTAGGTTTCACAATTTATCAAGTTGATGCATTTTAGTTAATTTTAATCACAAGGGGTTTTCAGATAGCTGAACTGCCCATCACCACTACTGCAGTTAGCATTAATCCTGCCATCATGCTCAAACTAATGCAATGTTCTATCAAAACATCAAAAAACCACCGCAAGAACTCATTCAGTCTAATAATTCATAACAGCCATTCCAAAAGTTTCTAGGAAGCTCTTGTTCTGCAATTATAGAAGCATAGCTTCTTGTTTTCATGATTTCACGAAAACTTTCACAAATTAGTTGCCGGGTACTAAAACGTCAGACAAATGCAACTGCAGTCTATGCATCAAGGGCCTTTGAGTTAATTCTTACACTCTAAAGTGAACTTAATTATTTTACTTTTGTTTCATTACATTAAATTTTAACATAGGACACATGTTCTGATGTAGTTTCCATGAAAACAGCTACTTAAATTTGCCTCTGGTTTTCTGTTAGAGAAGTACTTGGTTTAACTATTTATCACTGTGAAAAATTAGAATATAAAGCTCTCAACGTGTTGAAATTTGTTAGTTTCTGCAGAAGAAGTGTGCTTTACCCTGGAGATACGGCTAGAGCGAGTATAATGAATTTTTTTTTTTTTTCACATGTTCTGATGTAGTTTCCATGAAAACAGCTACTTAAATTTGCCTCTGGTTTTCTGTTAGAGAAGTACTTGGTTTAACTATTTATCACTGTGAAAAATTAGAATATAAAGCTCTCAACGTGTTGAAATTTGTTAGCTTCTGTAGAAGTGTGCTTTACCCTGGATATACAGCTAGAGCGAGTATAATGAATTTATTTTTTTTTTAATGCAGGAAAGATGAAATTACTCCTTTTTATGAAAACAAAAATAGACTTTTTGGTACACATACACATTCACTTTAAAAAGCCAGAAAAAGTAGTTAGACAAAATACTTGTTTGTAAACACTCCTATAGGAGACCTAAATGCTCCGTCAGTCATTTACAGTCCACCTGTCCTTACAGTGATGGACAGCATTCCCTGTCTACTGATTAGTACAGCATAGGCATGACAAGTGCAGTAACCCGAGACAATAAGGTATAGTCAGTGTGGTGTTGCATGTACAACTAGTATGTACAGCTTCCAAATGCACAGGCAAATGTGGAGACAAAGTAATGTAACGTATGTAGAGCTGAGTTAGAGAAGGAGCTTTTCCTGGGAAGTGCTTCCAAATAAACACCTGTATCCAAGATGCTCCTTAGTGAGAGGTATTCCAAACATGAGAAACTGTTGGGTTTAACATTTATGTAAAAATGAAAAAGTGGAAAACCTGTATTTTGTTTTTACAGGTAGGTTTACATGCACAAAGCAGCTCTTGGATTAATTTTTCTAAGCAATCATACAAACGTCAAAAGAATGGATCCATCTTTCTCTACTTGCTGAACTGGTAAGCCCAAGCTACTACTTCATCAGTCACTAGGTCTAACAGATACTGCTTTTACCTACCAGTTTTAACAGGCTAAAACAAGACACTAGCTGTCATTAGAACAGCTGTGATACCTTCACAATCTTCAAAATTAACGGAATATATGCAAATCACTTTTTAGCTGAGTATTTAGTGGAATGCTAAAAATAAAGTTTAAAGCAGAGGGAGAAACTGGGTGCTGTACCAGGGGTCGAAAAGAAAACATTATTTCTTCTAGGAAAGGAGTCATAACAACAGAAGGAATACTTAGGCATGAGATGTTGACCAAATAATAGACTTGAGTTCTGAACGTTTTTCCTAATCATTATGACTGTATCTTACACTTTTTATAGAAGTTGAAAGGAAGCAGTAGAAAAACCTAGAGAAAGGAAAAATACAGCTGAGTAAGGAGAGGAAGGGGAAAATAAACAACCCATTTCCTAGAGAAAAGGAACACTCCTCTGAAAAATGAAAGTTAATGAATACTTACCAGCGTCATGATACCTAGTCTGTCCACTTCCCGAGCTGGGCTATGTGGAATCCGCCTTGGGGTGGAGCGGCCACTGCCAGGCGGGGAAGAACCAGCAAGTGAACCACTTGCATAGGGAGGAGGAATGGAGCTCATGGACCGGAATCGGCCATGGGCATCCAAACTTCCACTACCCACTCTGCTTTCAATCTCCTCTGCACGCTGCTCTGTGTTTTCCTTTTCTTCTTGTATAAGTCTAAAAGACAAAAAAGTTTCAAAGGAACATGACATTCAAACAAATACCATATAAACAGAAGGGCTGACTCAGGCGTTAGAAAGAAGTAGCTCTTGACATACAGAACAGCTATCCTGAAAAGTTTTCTAATCCAATCTGAAAAAAGTGGTAAACACAACTGCTATTACCATCATACAAGGATTTCTGGCAAACTAGTAATACACAATCCCTTCCATAAGTGGGAATGAAGACAAAGAACCTGAAGAGAGTAGTTAGGCACAAGCAAACTAGTTACTTCTGTCAACACCCCCCCCAGGAAACTGAATGGGCAACCACCATTCTCCAGTAACCACACAAAAAGAACTTGTAGTGTCACAGAAATCCATTTTTATCAAAAACTTAACAGCATAGAGACCATACCTAATCTCTTTGTTGATTGCATCCAACTGTTCTTGAAGCATCATGGCCAAAGTCTGAGCATCAGCCTGACCGCTTGGTGAGAGCAGATCAACTGAACTGAAAATAGTCTCCCTGTCATCCTCAACATCAGACACATCAACATCACTTTCAAACGCTTGTGCCACGTTTGCCAACACGCTTGCTTGCTGGGCTCGCTCCCACTCCTGCTCATTCAGAGTTTGAACCTAAGAGAATTCACACAAAAAAAAAATTCAAACTCAAATGGGAAAAACATAACATTTCCACTGTTTTTTAAGATGTCTAAAATACATGTTAAAAAGCTCACTTACATGCTGAATGCATCCATCAAGATAGCAATGTTTAGAGAAATGTAAAAAAAAAAGCTATAAAGTAGAAAACTTTGCATCTTATAGTTAAATGAAATTTAAAAATGGGCAGCCCGATCCAATAAATTAAAACATCCCATATATTGGCTATACACACTCTAAATTATGACAGAATTTTGCTGTAAATTCAAGTAAGAATTTTGGAACCAGCTTTATGGAATGAGAGTGTTCGTGTCCTAAAAGGGACTTGAAATTGCTTGCAGAACAGTAACAAGTTAGTGTATAGACACAGAGGTAGGACTGTTTCCAATTATATTTACAGGCTTATCAGACTTAAAACAAACTGGACTTCAAAAATCATAATTTTGCAATTATTTTTAAGAATTTTAAAAAGACTACTAGCAGTGCATTAGTTAGTAAAATAGGATATATAAAAATCTAGCAGTTTTTTGCTGTGTACTCCTATTCTAAAAACTCCTTGCAATTGATTAGCCCCATTCTAACGTATTTTGTTGCCAAAATTTTATTTTTATTTCCATTTCAGAGTTCTATTACCTTTGAAGGTTCATCTCTGAGAGCTGCCAAACGCCCTTTCTGGGGACGCCTTAACACTGATGAGGTGCCATAGGAGTCTGTATGACTGTCAGCCACAGATGAAGATGTCATTGGGTATCTGAAATCTGGTCGGCTAGAACATGAAGAAACATTTTATCCTTATAAAGGTAGGGGGAAGGGAGAAACAAGCCAAAAACCCCACCCAAATGATTCCTATTGTCTCACCACTGCCATTTTTTTAAAGCAGTATAAAAACCGCTTTATATGCTCTATAAAGAATACATTTTATGGCTACGACTAAAGTATTTTCAGTTATAACAGACAAAATTACATTTAGCAAAGTGACTTGAAAGAAATTAGAATATAATTAAGTCCTGGTACCTATGATGAAGGGATGTGGCTCTGAGTCTCACTTGGTCATTTTCAGCCCTTAATGCTTCAACATTTAATACAAGTTGATCCTATAAAAATAAATAGATAAAATACATAACATGCTTAAAAAATTTAAGGTCAAATATTGATTTATAAACTAATATTTAGTTGCTTGATCTAATTTCTACAAAACTCAGAAATAACAGATTTTAAAACATAATACACACAATACAGCACCATCACACAAGGGTATCCAAGAATAATTAATTCTGTTTCCTCTCTACACTGTGACTCCAGGTAATGACAATGGATATTTTAAAAACAGCTGCTAAATGAAATTCACATATTACTAACTTAATTACAGTAAAGTTATAGCATTTAATAAGAAACTAGAAGATTTTTCAAGCTCTGTGCACAAAGGTTCTAAATGCATTCGCTTTTGACTTGGATATTTTTACATGCTCTAGAAACTCAGAATTTAACAACAGAGAAATTCAATGAATGAGAAAACACTAATAAAAAGGGGCTGATGATGAACATCTGTGCCTTGGGTGAAAACTGCTGGCCTACATATAAAAAAATTCAAAGCACACTCTGCAGAATATGCTGAACATGTTCTTCATTTTGTTTCAGAAGCACAGTCTCTACAGCGTGGCCAAGCTACTTACTAGAATGATTTGGGGAGATGCAGTACACCTGTGATTTAATAACCAGTAACAAGTACTATTTCAAAACAGATAGCATGACCACAGATCAATTGCCACTGCTTAAGGCTGTAAAGAAATGAAAGGCCCCATCACTATCGTTCAAAAAGTGAACTTGTCAGTTCCAGGACAAGCAAAACACCACGCAGCTGGTACTGCACAGGAGCAGCCAAGTCTAATAAATATTTCTGTCCCTGTCCCTCAGTTCTTCAAACTTTAAAAATTTTTATCGGTCGAACAAGTGTTTCACAAGATACAATGCTTTAAGAAAAAACTTATGGGAAAATACCCAACATTAAAAGTATTTCTCTTTCCTTTTTCCTGTTCAAGGTCATACGTACAACAGTACAAAAATTCTACACAATCTTCAAACCTTGGCAGATTGCCTATACATCCAGCTACTTTACATATTCAGAAGTGTGATAAGACTTGAGTAAAAAGCCATGTATTACCCACTGAATTATCATAAAGCTGAGGCACACAATACCATAAAACGAGCAATAACCGCTCCCTACTTTTAAACAGGCCAGGTAATGTTAAGTTTTATGGGGGAACTCAAATCCGGTCCTGCTATGTAGCAATGCAGCAATTACTTTCCAAGAGAATATTTTGGAAATGTTTATTATACCTTTTCATGCTGAAGTTCCTCTATTTGCTTTTTCGCATTTTCAATTTCTCGAAGAAGTGAATTCTAAAATAAAATGCATCACAAATTAAGTTACTTGTAAAAGCTTTCAACTCTTCAACCATAACCAAGTATATAAAAAAATTTTAGTCAACACTATACCAATGCATCTTAAGTTTTTAGACTTCCTGTATTACACGGGATGAGCCTATTTATGCAGCTCACACCAGTCAACTAAGAAAGGATAAAGCTGCTTAAAAGATGCCTTCTCAGTACAATACCCAGGGACAACCTCAAAAAAAAAATAATTAAGAACATATTTTTAAAATCCACACTAGAAAACAGCCTAACAGAAACTACTTATAAGGATTTAGTATTTATTTACTGAAGTTACAGACATATTACAAAGTACAAATGGCTACAGAATGTTGAACATTAATGTATATGCTGGAATGTGACTCGTTACCTTATCTTCCAAGGCAGCCATCCTTTCCTTGAGATGAAGCTGAAGCCGTTCATTAGATTCAGACAGAAGCTTATCAACAGTTTCTGACAAACGTTTATTATGCTCTTCATTCATCTTCTCTCTCTGTCTAGCCTAAGATACATAAAAGCTACTGAAATAACTTAGAATTTACAATATTTATAACAAATAAGTAACCTTTCTGTAATCCAAATGCATTTTCTTTAATAGAAATATCTTTCCAAATGAATAAAGTACAAATACAAGTACAACAGGTACCTCCATGACTCAGTGAGGGAGTATAAGGGACACTTAAGACTACAATAACTGTTCCAAGATCAGAAGCTTGAAAATGTGAGCTTACAATTCAAGAAAAAGCAGTTTTCAGAACCAATTCCATATTTATAACCTATGAACCAATTTTCCCACAGTCACTTAATTCAGCAAGTTTTTGATCAGTCTCCTGATCAGAAAGTATGACTAAGCAATCAGGTATTTCCAAACATACTTCAACTTCCATTGGAGAATTTCAGCTTTTTCTTGGGATTTAAGGTTAGGCATAGTACAGTGGCTGAAATCTCCCAACTATCAGCCAGCAGAAACTCTGGCTTTATTTTAGAGATGAGAAATAAAAAAAGCTTTGCTGAATGGTAGGCAGCCACAAAGGGGATTAGACTCTTTCCTTCAGCTTTGTATCCTTGCCAGTAATATATACTGTACCCTTTGCAGTTCTTGATTCTTTTCTTCTAGCTGTGCTTCCATCTGTCTCAGCCTTTCTTCTATATTGCCATGTCTCTCCTCAGCCTGTCAATTTGAAAAGAAAATTAGACTTTGGCTTTTTTAAAAAAGGTTTCAAAAGCATAGAAACATGGAAGCACAACAATATATCTAACATGCTTTGCGCAACTGCCATTTATGGTAATACATAACGCAGAACAGATGCCTTTCTGTCAATAAAAGAACTTAGTAAGAGTTCATATGGTAAGCAACAAAACGATGAAGCCTCTCACCCTTAAGTATCACGAATTAACTGCTATTTGCAAATGAGCTTGCAACAGCAGTTCATTCAAATCCCCAAGAATTAAAAAAATAAAAAAAACAAAACCAAAAATGAAATAAAAACTAAATGCATTTTCAGTTTTTCCTCACTAGCCTGGAGAGTATGACCCTTTGTTAGTAATCGTGACAAAGCAGAAAGCAGCAAGCAGAAACAAGGACTAATATACAAATTCTACCTTCCTAAGCTTGGTGGTAAGTTCCAATACTTTAGCATCTTTAGCAGCAGAGCTCCCAGGAGACAAAAGGTCAGACTACAGAGCCAGTTAGGGACAGGAAAGATAACAGGGAAAGAAATGAAACAGACTTGAAAAGAAAACACAGACACACACACTTGAAAAGGCTCATTTGCAGTTACTACATATAATTCTTCAGACTTCAGTATTCCATTTGCAGCCTTCTAAAAATCTTCATATTAATGACTGCCATCATTTCTCCCTTTCCCCACATTCTGACTTGGTTACCAGAGGAAGAAATTTGGGTTTCCCCTTCAGAAGCAGTTCTTGTTTAAGATGACTTTATGCCTATTCTTGAATAAATTTTAATAAAAAGCAACAAAATAATAACTCAAGAGAGATATTGTCATAATGTAACAGTTAACAGGAAACCTGCTCATGTTCCAAAGGGCAGAAATTAAAAAAAAAAAAAAAAAAAGTAAATCAGAGTGTGTTCAGAGAGATGAACGGAAAAATGCAGAAGAGGAGAAACATTTTCTGTACTAGTGGGGGGAAAAACAGAAACAGAGAGTAACAAAACCAACACTAAGAACAGATTTTGTGTAGCAGGATGACAACGGAGAAGAGAGTCTTGAGGACACTGTCCAACTGACCCACCTTTGAAAGTGCTGCAACCCTCTGCGCCAGCTCTGCTTCCACCTCCGGCAAAGTTTCAGCTTTCCTCAAAGTCTGCTGCAGCTTTTGCTCAGCTAGTTCCAGTCGTTCTTGCAATTGCCTATTCTTATCTTCACTCTACACAGGATTATGAACAGCAAATGTTTTGTGTTAAAACAGTAATTAGTTTTCAAAGAGGAAGGTAAGGATATAGATTACTGCCTTTACTGGACCTACGGAGAACAAACTGTCCAAAACTGGTTTCACGACCAAAGATGTGGCATCCTCCCCTCCATTACATGAGAGAACTTTTTGCTGTACAAATTTTTTTCTGCAGACAATTTTGTGTATTCTAAAAGCAACTATATCAACAAATAAACATAGTTATGATATGTGAAGCAACACAGAATAAGCTGTGAATTTTCAATGTCAAGGCTGTGCTAAGACTGAGTTACATTAAGGACAACAGTCCTTCATATTTTAAATAACACTATGCGTATTGACACAAGATTTATTTTTGAAGTGTGTACAACTCCTTTTAAAAATTGTACTAAAAGGGACTTGTCTTGAGTAAGAGTTGCCTGGCTTTCTCTAGTCAGAAAGTGATCGGCTAAACAATCATTTCTGGGTTTAAGTTGGAATATTTCACGTCAAGTATACGTCAAATCTCCTCCCACAATTAGGCAACATTTACTTCTATTATAGGCCATAAAAATCACTACACACTACATGAATTTTAAAACTGTTTTAGCATAGAATGAGTAATTCTCACACATGTAACTAAAGATGCTTGGATACACATATAATAACTGAAAACTCCACAATATGGACAATGGCCCTGCTGCACCATGACCAAGTGCAATAAAATGCTCAAAACCATTTCCTCTCTCCAGTAAACTGTCTCATCTCCTGAAAAACAATCACTAACAACAGCACACTACAGATTATATTTCTCTTCCTAAAAGCACAGTGCTTTTGTACTGTACAGCCATTAATTATTTCCACTAGTTTTATGCCGAGCAAAATGTACTTTATCTCATTTCAAACTACAACCTGTCGATGCATGGAGTCTTTAGTGGCAATTTCATTTTCAAGTTTATCATTGAGGTCATGCACAGATGTAGCTTCACGTTGTGCAGCGAGGTAGCGTTTCTCAAGAGTTGTAATTCTCTCTTCCATGTCTTCCTTTTGGGCCATAGTCTATGCAAGACACAAAACAGAATTTAGTATATAAAGGGATAATTTAGTGATCAAACTGAGGGGAAAGCCCAACAAACCCATAATAACTTTAAAAGTCAGATATACTCTTGTTATTTCTCTCAGTAAAAAAATGAAGTGGAAAGAACAGTCTCACTTAGGCTTACAATTCAATGACTTTTTTTTTTAAATTGTGAATGCTTAAAAAGACTGGTCTTTATTACACTACACCACAGATTTCCTAATTACCTTTTCAGTGGCACAAACATAGCAAATCTTTATTTCCTGGGGAAGGTCAGGCGGATTTAACTGAACTCCCTTTCTATTTAATAAGATACAGTACACAGCAATACATAGGACCTTGGGGATTAGTGACTGAACAGTAACAGGAATTGTCAATCACGCCATTGAATTGAAGTGATTCCTCAACCACATACATCTTTAAAGATAAAAAAATTTAAACTTAATGAATAAGCTTAGCATTTATGACAAGATGAAGCATCTTTTGAAGAGCATGTTAAAGTTCACAATGCCAAATCTATAATTTATTTGTAAAATACATAGTTATTCATAGATTAATTCTGAAGATCAAATTTTCTTAAGCGACTGGTCTTTTAAACATAAAATAGCACCATCGTGCTTTAAACAATTTAGTCTCACCTATCTTACCAAAGACTTTCAAAAGCATAAATATCTAACTGAGCACCAATGGCATGAAATTTTATAAAGAATTTGCATTCATGATTACCCTAATTTTGACAAGTTTATTCCTCACCTCTCGTACATCTCTCTGTAACTTTGTATTCATTTCTTCGGACTTTATTAAGTCTTTCCTAGCTGTGTCAAGATCTTCTTCCAGCTCTGTTACTCTGCTAGACAAGGCAGTAAGACGCTCTTTCATTTGTGCCTGCTCTTTGTTTTGCTTATCTATAACATCTTGGAGTTCAATCACTTTAGCAAGGTTTTCATCATGGCATAATGAACCATCAGAGGATCGCTATAAAACAGAAAAAATGAATATCTATCTGCATGTTACACAGAAATTTGAAAAACAAACTGATACTTACCTGTTAACATCCCTCCCCCAAGATAATTTTATTACTGGATAGACTGCAAAAATTGCAACTGTAGTAACTGAACTTTTTTAATTATCACTCAAAATCTATTATAGTTTAAAATTAAAATATTATAGTTAATGATTAAAAATCAGACATCAGCTTTAAAAAAGTAAATAGCTATACCTTCCCATTTGTAGTTGGTGTATTTTCTTGTTCATGATTTATATCCAGCATTCCATCTGGAAGTGTTTTCTTCTGATTATTTTGCTCTTTCAGAATCATTAACTAGAAGAAAAGTTTATATACATACATTTCAAGTCAATTTCTTTCTAACTAATAACAAGCAGTTGCAAAAACAAGGGAGCAAAACAACAATTACTTTATCTACTACAAGGTATCTACTAATAAAATATGGCACAGGAACTCAAAAAAGGTGGGGTGTGGACAGGGAGGTTGGGGTTAGTTTGTGTTCTCTATTCTTTCAAAGTGACTAAGTTAAAAATTATAGTTATCCCATTTGGCAAAAAAATCTCAAACAAGAAGTGAAAGTGAACCTTAACTGAATAAATTACTGTGTACAAATATTGACTAAAACACCCACAACACACACGAAGACTTCTTTTAAAAAAAACAAACCTACCTCTTTATGTGTAGTACCTAGTTCCTCTTCCAATAAGCTACATCTTTCAAGTGCTACTCGTAACCTCTCCCTTACCTGAAAAAGTAATTTCAAATAATCTGAAATCATTCAAATTAAAAAGAAATTAATTTCACTTATTGCCACGCTGCCTTTCCCTTTCAGGTAGTAAATGAATATTTCCATTACACTTACAGTGCTTGATCTTAAGTATTAATTACAACATGTGCTACAAAAAACCTTAGAGAAATAATGTGTATCTTAAAATCTGGCTTTTTGTTTTTTCTCCTAAGCAGCAAACCATATCTCAACATGACCTGTACATTAGCCAAGAATTAAACATATCCAGAATTTGCCTATCCTTTCGTAAGGCACAGAGCACGTATGCTGTTGCTTATTTACAATAAGGAAGAAAAGACAGAATTCTACTTAAAATAATTTGCCAGACTTTATACACAGGGGTCACAGAAGTTAGGCAAACTATGAGTTGGCAGCAAAATTCCCAGCAAACTTTATCGCTGGCATATCCTCCTGCCAACACCAGGCACAACTAAAGGGTGGAGTTCCTTTAACTCAGCTTTATTTCATATCGCAGTGTAAGCAGATTCCTCTCCTCCTGTTCTCTCTAGCCCATTTCTTGTATTACCTAATCAAAAGGCTAAATCCTGATATTATACGGGTAAGCATTCCTACAACAAATATATTGCCCCTTACCCATGCTTAGTTTACATCAGCACAGTTAATGAAGTACTGGAATAAACTACAGCACCTCACTTTAGCACAACATATTAATTTAGGAGGGCAGTTACTAATGCAGTTATAGCAAAGCCACGATCTTAATACAGAGAAAAGTTCAGAGAACCTGACTTCTACAACTTTAGTACAAAAAACTGCATGGTCCACACAAAAGAAAGAGGGCACAAGACGAGAAGATGTTAGCTACCGTATTTCGTTACCTTTTCATCAAGGGCTTTATGGTGTTCAAATAAAGATTTTAGTGCTTTGAGAACTTCTACTTCACTAGAAACTCCTGCTGGAGATTGAGCTTGTCTCTTTACAACAGTCATTCTGAGAGATCGCTCATGCCTGGAGACGAGACACTCCAAATGTTCCAGTAATAGCTGAAACAAAAAAAAAAAAAAAGGAACAATGTTTATTCCCATTCTGCATAGCTGCAGAAAACTTTGCCTCCTAAAACACAGTGTTGAGTTCTAAACTTCAAATCTGAGAGCCAACAACTACTGCATCAAGCGTAAGGACCAATTTTTAACATTTCACCTGTGTTAGAAGCAGTATCAGAGCTCATGTGTTTCCTGCCTCTTTCTTTCAGTCTAGCTTTTAAATGAGGTTTCTACTTAGCCAGGTCTTTTCAGTTCCGCCACCAATCTGAGGGGCTGAATGCTTCTCACAAGGATACACATAGGAAATGCTCCAAATTAGAGAGAAACTGCTCTGCTGGCAGCAGTGTAAGCTGCTGGAACAGATCACCACAGCTTGCCTGCTCTATTCCACTGATCTGGGGCGTTGTACGATTACAAAACTTTAACAACAAGAAAGCTGAATGACAGAGAGCAGTGTAGTCTTACAAGCTTTTCCTGATTCAGCACAGCAGTACTTGGAGCTGTGCACAAGCTTCCAAACTTTCATAATCAACACACATTTGCACTTCCACGGGGATTCACGTGCAAACATCAGGGAAAGAAAATACTTTTAGCTTTTTAAATTCAACACCCAACATTTTTCTCCATTTAGTTGGATGCTTTAGCGATAGTAATCTTGGAGAAGACAAGGAACTAACCCTCGTATTATTTCTTTCTGCTTTCAGTTCAGCGATTTCTTCTTCCCTTTCAAGCAGCTGCTCCCTGCATACATTTAGCTCTTTCGTAAGCGCTGCAAATTCCTGAAATAAACCAGACAGAAATGTAAGCACATAAAATATCGGGATATAGTTAGAGTAGATTCATATGAACACTTGACATGATTTCTTGGAAGTATTCATTTCAGATGTCTAAAGCCAATACAGCTGTATTAGTCATGCTAAGCAGGCTTAAGCTCCAACACTTGAAACTGTTACAGTGTCAAAGGTAATGAGAAAAGATGTTTGACCAGTACTTTTGAGAACTCATTTATCTCTCAAGGTAATTTTCTGAATAGGGGCAGCTCTGGTAAGCAAAGGGAAAACCCTATTTGTAATGCACTTTTGAAACAATAACAAAGTTGGGGTGTTTTTTTTGTCTTTTTTTTTTTAATTACTGCTGAGGGAGACATGAAAAAAACAGAGCACTAAGCAAAAACAGAACCCAGAAAAACATGACAAATTCCAAGTCACTTTTTAATTGTGAGAGACAACGCATAACCCTGCCATCTACCAGAATACACACGTTACTTCTTCACAGTAAGAGAGCATCCTCAAAGCTTCACCACTGGAGGACTCAGACCCTTGAAGGTATTTATCTGCTTCAGCTCCATACAGGGATTTCATTTATACCTACCTTCAAATCTCACAGAGCAGAACTGAAAC